CCTCCCACCCAAGTCTCCCCACCGTTTTTGCTGTTATTACTGTGGTTATGTGGTTGTTATAATGGCACACTCCCTTAGAAGGGGGCCGTCGAGGGAGGAGCAGGGGACCTTGGGACAGCAGATGGGATGGGCACCAGCGCTGAGCAGTGGACACGGCCCCTCCCTGAGGTCCACACCTGGTTCCTCTTCGTCAACTGGGGCCCAGGTCTTTGGCTTGTCCCAACTTTTATGATGGTCACCAGCCTGGCTGGAAGGGAAGCTTCAGCCAGTCCCCACCCCCCACCCCAAGAAAGAGACAAACAGCAAACATACTAAGTTAGGTGTGAATGTTTATCCCACTGAATCTTTTGAGGCAAGCAGTGTTATTCACTACCTTTCACAGATGAGGCACCTGAGGCCCAGAGAATTTCTCAGGTTGCACTTAAACCAGGTATTTGGTTTGAGTGACAGGCTGGTCCTGGTGGTCTGTACTGTTTGCTGGGTCCTCACAGCAACCCTGACCTATGTCCCTGCCCACAGTGACTTGGCTGGCCCGGGAGATGGCAGACCCAGTGGCGAGCATCGCGGGCTCAGCGGCCAAGAGTGTGCGGCCATTCCGCTCAAGTGAGGCCTACGTGGAGGCCATGAAGGAAGACCTGGCCGAGTGGCTCAATGCCTTGTATGGCCTGGGTCTGCCGGGCGGCGGTGATGGCTTCCTGACAGGACTGGCCACAGGCACAACCCTGTGCCAACATGCCAACGCTGTCACTGACGCTGCCCGTGCTTTGGCTGCCGCCCGCCCAACCCGAGGTGTGGCCTTTCAGGTGCACAGCGTGGCACCTGGCTCCTTCATGGCCCGGGACAATGTAGCCACCTTCATCGGCTGGTGCCGCACGGAGCTGGGTGTGCCCGAGGTGCTCATGTTTGAGACTGAGGACCTGGTGCTGCGCAAGAATGAGAAGAGTGTGGTGCTGTGCCTGCTAGAGGTGGCGCGACGTGGGGCCCGCCTGGGCCTGCTCGCCCCCCGCCTCGTGCAGTTGGAGCAGGAGATCGAGCAGGAGCTACATGCTGTACCCCCAGCCCCCAATGTCCCCAGTGCTTCAGAGGAAGGCACTGAAACCACCGCTGCACCAGGGGCTCCTGCCCGAGGACCCCGCATGACACCCAGTGACCTGCGCAACCTCGATGAGCTGGTGAGTCCCCTGATGCTCACACTGGGAGGCTATGGCTCCTGCTTGCTTCCCCAACACTGGGACCAAGTGGCAAAATCAGTGCCCATAACCTATCTCTGACCCTCCTGTGGCCCCACCTTGGTACAGCATCTACAGGGTGCACCAAAGGAAGGGTGCACATGTTGAGTGCCAAATGTATGCCTGGCCCCAAGGAAACAGGTCGGCCAGGAAGGGTCGCGTCACCAGCCCATCTGGTCCTGAGACAGAATCCTGGCTCACAGCTCCATCTCTCCTTTCATGTGTTACATGTCCACCACTTGAGTGTTGTGCAGTCCATCTGAGGGGGCCTCTTGATTTGGGCACCTCCTCTATGTCTTCCCTGCTCTCAGGTGCTAGACAGATATATCCACAACCCCCAGCTCCATGGGTGCTGCAATTGGCTAAGACAAAGTGTGGAAGGCCCTGGGCAAGGTGCCTGGGAGGGATCACCTGCATGCTCCAGCACACTTCTGGGAAGCCTTGCCCAGTTGTGCTTGGTGGTAGGAACAGGAAGCCCTGATGGAGCTGCAGGAGTCCTGCTTGGAGCATAGAAGGTGGCAAGCCAGGCCCCCAGCTCCCTCCCCCATCCCAGGACCTAGGTGTTCCTTCCTCCCCCACAGCTAAGCCAAGAGTTTCTTTCTTATCAGGAGATTAGACTGTGATGTGCCTGCCCAGGAGGCCGGCAGCAGTATAGCTGTAGGCAGAGGCAGGCACTCCACCCCCAGCCTGGGTCTGGGCCTGGGTCACCCAGGGCCCCACCTGCTCATTTCCTCTGGCGCCGCTGTGGGCAGGGAGGCGGGCAGGGCCTCCCACAGAGCCAGCCTGGCAGCTCCAGGCCTGGGGTAACGTGAGCAGTTTGTGTGCTCACCAGACGGGCGGCCTGTGTCTAAGTGCTGGTGTATACATGTGTCGTCCCATTGTATCTTTGGTACTCCCAACATCAGTGCTCAGCCAGGGGATGGGCTCCCCTGTACCGGTATTGCATGACCTATCTCCTCTCAGGGTGACAAGGGGAGTGAGGACCAGCTTCAGGGGCCCCCTTGGCTTAGGGGCTACAAGGATATCCCTTACTGGGGTCCTTGGTCCTGGCCTGACCCCAGCCTCATCATCTCATCTTGATTTGCTTCCTGGACCCTGAGGGCCAGGAAAAGGAGCTATCGAGAGGTCTTGTGTGGAAGCTGTACCCACATCTCCACCCCCATTTCCCCGGAAGGACTTACTTCCTCCTGACCCTGGATCTATTGACAATAAGCCCAGGATGAAGGACTGACCTCTGACCAACAGCTTCTCCTCTCTGGCCTCAGGTGAGGGAGATCCTGGGCCACTGCACCTGTCCAGACCAGTTCCCCATGATCAAGGTCTCCGAGGGGAAGTACCGAGTGGGAGATTCCAGCCTGCTTATCTTTGTGCGGGTGAGAAGGCAGCAGCAGCAGCCAAGAGGGTGGGTTGGTGGGCCCACAGGATACAGCTGTGACATGACCACATCGCCTCCCACAGGTGCTGAGGAGCCATGTGATGGTGCGCGTGGGTGGCGGCTGGGACACGCTGGAGCACTACCTGGACAAGCATGACCCTTGCCGCTGCTCTTCCACTGGTCAGTGCTGGGCTGGGCAGATAGGCAGGGGCTTTTCTCCCTGGCTGTGTCCCTCACTCACATCCTGCCTGTCCTCCCACAGCCCACCGCCCATCCCAGCCAAGGGCTCGAACCTTCTCCCCCCAGAGGGTGTCTCCAACCCCCAGCCCCCGTCCTGGTAGCCCAGTCTCAGGGAGTGAGCGAAGGGGCTCTCGTCCAGAAGTGACACCTGTTAGTTTACGAAGCACAAAGGAGGAGCCTGAGACCCCACTCAGGTGAGGTGCAGGACTTGGGAGAGCTGCCCAGAGGGTTGGGGTAGAGGCAGACTGGCCCATATGACGAAGTTGCCTGTGCTCCAAAGTGACTCACACCCTGGGAAAAGTTCCTGTGGGTGGGGGCAGGCCTGGCTTCCCATCTCCATGGCAACCAAGCCAACAACAGCTGGGGCGGGCCCTGGGGGTTGGGCAGCGGGCAATCCAACCCCCAGCTTCCTTCTGGGCACCCTGGGGGAGACCGAAGGCCTGGGGAGGAGGAGTTACAGGCTCAGCAGACCTCTTTTCTTCTGCTGCCTTCCGGGATCTGAGTGGCCACAGGAAGCTGCCGCCAAGCCTCACTTCTCCCTGGAAGTCCCCAGGGTAGATGGATCCCTTGCCACTCCCACCAGCTCTCCCCATCTGTCCAGGAACTACCTGCCCTTCGGGTCCTCTCCCTGTCCCTTCTGCATTCCAATGATGCTCCCTCTCTCATTCCCCTGTCCCAGGCCCCGAGATCAGCTGCCCCCTCTCCCCCGCTCCCGCCGCTACTCCGGTGACAGTGACTCCTCAGCCTCCTCAGCCCAGAGTGGGCCCCTTGGTGCCCGCAGTGACGACACAGGCACTGGCTCCCGGAGGGAGCGGCCTAGCCGGCGGCTGACCACTGGCATCCCAGCCTCTCCGAGACGGCCGCCTGCCCCTCGCAGCCAGTCCAGAGACCGGCTGGATCCGGGCCAGCCCCAAGCAGCTCCAAGAGGCAGAGGAGCCCAGCTGTCCGCCCCTAGCCCCACCCGGCGGGCCCGCAGCCAGAGCCGTGAGGAGCAGGCTGTACTGCTGGTGCGCAGGGACCGAGATGGGCAACACTCCTGGGTCCCTCGGGGAAAGGGCAGTGGGGGCTCTGGCAGGAGCACCCCTCAAGCTCCCCGAGCCCGAAGCCCTGCCACAGGGCAGCCTTCCCGGCTCTCCAGCCCTGGGCCAGAGTTGGGAGCCACACCAGCCAGCGTGTTCCGCACACCCCTGCAGCTTGACCTACAGCAAGAACAGCAGCTGTTCCGTCGGCTGGAAGAAGAATTCCTGGCCAATGCCCGCGCCCTCGAGGCAGCTGCTAGCCAAACCCCTGAACCAGCCCCTGACCTGGCTCGAGCTCCAGATCCTCCAGCTCCTGACTCAGCCTACTGTTCCTCCAGTTCCTCCTCTTCTTCCCTCAGCATCCTGGGTGGCAAGTGTGGCCAACCTGGGGACTCTGGCCGGACAGCCAATGGGCTGCCTGGGCCCCGCACCCAAGCCCTGTCCAGCTCTTCTGATGAAGGCAGCCCCTGTCTTGGCATGGGGGTGTCACTAGATGCATCTGGGAGCTCTTTGGCTGGCCCAGAGCCCTCACAGACCTGGGCACGGGGTCGGATGGACACACAGCCAGATGGCAAACCCTCACGTATCCCCACACCACGAGGCCCCCGCCGTCCATCTGAACTCACGCAGCTTGGGGCCTGGCATGCCCTGCACTCGGTCACCCCAAGGGCCAAGCCAGATTCCTGAACATGATGGACCAGCCTAGCTGCTCCCAGATCCCTTTTCCTTTGTGGCCTTAACCCCCCCTCTGCATCAGGGAGCCCCCTCCACTCTGGAGTACCAGACCTCATGGGACCAGACCCCTCGGGATGACATGGCACAATGGGACCTCTGTTGTACATTCCGGCTGGGGAATGAGCATTGCTATTTAATTACTAATATTATTGAATGCCTTAGAGGAGGCCCGGCAAGCCCGGTGTCCTGAGGACCTGTGGTCCAACAGAGCCTCTGACAGTAAAGTTTTGCTCCAGCCACCTGTCTGTTTCTTGGGGACTCAGCCTTGGGGCCATCATACTCTTTTGACCACTATCATTACAAGTGGGGCTTCTGGAGTTAACTGCCAGGGGGCCAAGCCTGGGAGCTCTGACCTTTAGAGTTAAAGCTGTTTTGCCCATCCCAGAACAGAAATACCAAGTGCACTATAAATTGTTTATTACCTCGCTAGAGTGTGTGTCCAGTGAAGTGTCAGGGGCAGCCTCAGGGCTTCCAATCGGATTCATAGCCAAGCCCTTTCTATCCAGTGGGACTGATCTGATGAGGTCCCAGAAAGAAGTTATCTTTGTCCAGGGTGGGTGTTCAATGAAGTTCAAAGAGAGGCCTGTCGCCCAGGAGCGATTCTTTATCCAGTCAGGGAGGAGACTGCCTTGTCCAGTCCGTGTGAAGTTGAGCAGTCTCATCCAATCAGGTCACATGAGGCTGCAGCGCGCTGGATGCAGCGCCCCCTGCAGGCGCAGGGCCGGGTGCGCAGGACGTGCGCGCACCAGAGCACAGCGTAGAAGCTCGCGGAAGAGACGCAGCACGTGCCAGTTGTACTTGGCAGAGCACTCGAGGTAGCCGCAGCGCCAGCCCCTGCGCACCAGGGTGGCCAGCGCTCGTCGAGGTCCGAAGCGCAGCCGCTGCCGGTCCCGCTTGTTGCCAACCACGAGGATAGGAGCCTCGGGCGCGCCCGCCGGCCTGGGGGCCCGACAGACACAATGTTGGGGATCCGAGAATCCTCCCACCAAGAAGTTGTACACGCAGGCGCATCCCCTACAGCCAGAGACAACCCCCCCCCCCCCGTAAATATCAACCCCAGGCCCATGTGGGTCTAAGACTTCACGCAATTGGAGGCCTCCCCATAAACAAAGAAAGGCCTGATCCAAAACCCGGCCCCCGACGACAACCGAGGGAGACTACTCGCCCCCATAGGGTACAGTTCCCCACCATCACCACCTGCCGCGCCCTCACCTGGTCTCCGCGATTCGCTGTCTCAAGGCCTTCACGTAATCAAAACTGTCCGGGCTGCAGATGTCGTAGACAAGCACGAAGGCGTCGGTATCCTGCAAGCTCCAGTCCTTAGGGTCTGGCCGCTCCTGGGGGTGGGAGGCTGGGGTTTGACAGAATCTCCTTTCACTCTCCTGCACCCAAACCCTCTACAGGAGTTTGACACCAAACCCACAGTTCAGCCAGGCGTGGTGGCCCATGCCTGTAATCCCAGCATTCAGAAGGCTGACCCAGGAGGATCACCACAAGTTCATAGTGAATGCAAGGCCAGCCTGAACTGCATAGTGAGACCCTGTCTCAAAAATATAAAAAAATAAAAATAACTCACAATTCATCCTTAGGCCTCGGTCACTCCATCCCAAGTTCCCTGGGTCCCTACCAATGGCTACCAGCATAAAATGCCCCTGGAGCCTGTCAGCCACCAGCCGTCCTTCATCTCAATCCTCACTTCCATCCCCCCACTCCCATCTGCCTCTTGCTCCTCCCACCTTTCCCCAGCGCAACTCTTCCTAGCTGCCACCTCTAGAGTAATTGCCAAGCCCCTGGCCAGGAGCCCCCACATAATACCAGTGCCCGGGACTATGGATTGTCGGCAGCTATGCATGTTTAAGCCTCTGGCCCCTGTTGTTCTCTCCATCTCTAATGCTTTCACCACTTCTTTTACTCAACTCTTCACTCAGCCTTCCCTGTTCAGGTCAACTGCCACCCCCTCCAAAAGCCCAACTTAATCCTGCCTGCTTTTTCCTCTCAACCTCTGGGAAGCGTCCAGCTGCACAGATTAGAGGTTGGTCCTGGACTCTGCACAACTCCTAAATGAGTCTTCACTCCAGGTCACAGGAACAAGGGAACAGAGAAAAGTCCACCCCTTTGCCTGATGCCCATCTCTCCCACTGTGGCTCTGCTCAGGGCCCCAACACAAGCTGCGCCCTCAAGGCGACACCATCATGCTGCACCATGCGGTGATCTAAACCCACCAGCGGAGGCAGGCAAAGAAAACAAAAGCGCCCACGGAACAAGAAAAATCCATTTAGCAAAATCGCCTCGTTTGGCGGGCATGGTGGAGCTCGCCTGTGATCCCAGCACTCAGGAGGCTGAGGCAGGAGGATTGCTGCAAGTTTGACCTGGGCTACATAGTGAATTCAAGGCCAGCCTGAACCACATAGGGAGACCCTGTCTCAAAAAAAAAAAAAAAAAAATCGCCCGGTTTAGGGTCCCTGGGCTTGGGCACCTCCAGGCCGGCTGGGAGGGTTCAAATGCACATAGATCAGCCCTCCTGTTCTTCCTTCAAACCCTGGTCTTGGTCAGGCGCCCCGGGGGAGTCCACGTGGACTGCACATGTGCACCAAGCACACACCCCCCCACACACTGGCACAGCTACTGCCCGCCCCTCGAACCGCTACCTCCAGACCTCCAGGGCTCAGGCCGGGATCAGCGACGTCGCCGTCGCGGATGCTCAGGTCGTAGACAGCGCCATCGAGCAGCACCGCGGGACGGTAGAGGCGGGGTCCGTCCGTGGGCTGGTGGCGCTCGGGATAGTCACCGAACAGGAACTGGCGGATGATGGCCGTCTTGCCCACTCCCGGAGCGCCCAGGACAGCCACTCGCAGGCTGCCCCCCATGGCCGGCCTGTGCCGGGAAGCCTCATGGGCCGGCGCCGAACCGTGCGCGCCCGGCCGTGCGCCCCGTGAGCCCTGCCCAGTGCGCTCCGACCCCGCCGCGCTCGTCGTCGCCCACCTGAGCACCCGAGGCCGGCGGAGACCAGGCCCAAGGACCAGACTGGCGGCGGGAGGGCGGTCAGACAACACAGCGGGCAGACGGCAGCGGACTCACCAGGAGCTCCGGCGAGTGCCGAAGCTCGGGAAAGAACAGACCTGGCGCGCCGCGCGCAGACACCGCCTCCGCCCGCAGCGCGCGAACGGAGGCGCTACCGGCAGCGCGGGGCCCCGAGGTCCGGCCTCCTCCCAGCGCGGGTCCCTCAGCGGCGCCTGGGTCCTTCTGTCCTTCTCGCTCCCGCGCGGGGAGTCGCCGCCCGCCCCAGCCGCCGGCGCGACCCAGCGAGACCGGCCTCCCGGAGGCAGCGATGAGGTAACGGCCCGCCTGTCCCTCCCACCTCCCTCTCGGCCCCTGACGCCCCTCCCGGGAAGGGTCCTGAAGGTGAGTGGAGGGCGGGGAGCCGGGTGGGGCCTAACCCCCACCGACCCGCCCTCTTCTCACCGCTCCAAAACAGAAGCCCCTTCCCTCCCACCTCTGCGTCTGCTCCTCCAGACACCACTTGGCCAAGCTGCCTCCAGACAAGACCTGGCCCCTGGAGTCAGGCCGCCCGGGGTCGTATCGGGTCCCATCTGTGTGACCTTGATGAATAACCGCACTGCGCTGGATCCCTGCTCTGCAGCAACAAAAGCAGACACCTACCTCCACGGGCTCTGTGAGAACCTACTAAGTGCCAGACCCTTTTCTAAGCTATGTGATCCTTGAACCTTCTGTCCCAACCTGGTGGGACAGGTTGGAGAAGGAGATCTCCACGGTTAGAAGGGCAGGGAAGCCCCAGGCCCTCGGCCGGCCTTGCCATCTCCTCTGAGGGACCTGACACCTGCCCGCCATCCCCCACCCAAGGGGTAAATAGCCACACTGAATATTTCAAACGGCTGTCCTGGAGGAGAGGTAGGGGCTGACAGGAGGGACTGAGTCTGGCACACACTGAGTCACACAGCAGCTCAGCCCCAAATCCCTGCCTCAACAAGGCTGGAGGTGAATAAATATAGAAAAATCCAAAAATTAGCAACACCGCCCCCATTGCTGCAAAGACCATATTTCCTACAGGAATCTTCACCTGTAGCCTCCCTGAAAAGGGGTGCAACCTCTAAACCAGATTCCCAGAGCTCAAACCCCTCTCAGATTCCCAGAGCTGGTGGGGGAGCTCCTTCCACTATGACCCCCGTGGTGTGGCTGTGAACCCTCCCCTGTACACTGGGGGGCTCCCATATCTCTGCCCTCACCCAGGTACTGGATGAAATGCACAGGTGTCTGTTTCTGCACTGACTGGAGTTTGTTGTTGTTGTTGTTGTTGTTGTTTTGGCTTGGATTTTTTTGGTCTTTTCACGATAGAGTTTTGCTTTCAGGCTAGCCTTGAACTTACTATGTAACCCAGGCTGGCCTTGAACTTGGGCAATCTTCCTGCCTCAGCCTCCCAAGTGCTGGGATTATAGGCATGTGACATCATGACTGAATGTTTCCCTTCACTCGATTTCCCCTCTTACACTGTAGTTTTCAGACTTCTGAATTTTAAAAATTTTCAGACTTCTGGTTTTGTGTGTCTGATTTGGTTTGGTTTTGGTATTGGTATTGGTTTTGATTTGCAGTACTGGGGATGGAACCTAGGGCCTCATGCATTCAAGGCAAGTGGTCTGCCACTGAGCTACATCCTCAGCCCTTTTTATTTTATTTTGAGAAAGGGTCTTGCAATCCTTTTGCCTTAGCCTCCCCGGTAGCTGGGTTTGCAAGCATGTGCCGCCATGCCCAGCTAGGCTTCTGGGTTTTGTGAACTTCGTCCCTTCCTTTGGAGAAACACAGCAGGGAATAGACTCAGTCCTCTTCTCACTTGGCGTGCAGCAGGTTGTGGGTAGACACCAGAATGGTCTTGCTAATCTCTTATCACTGCTGCAGGAGCAGAGTCCATTCTGAGTTCTTCTCTGGAAAGCTCCCTCATTTCCTGTCCTGATACAGAACCTTCCTGGGCAGGGGATCTCTAAAAACGGCAAGGAGGACTGTGTGAGGCCCCTCCAGGCCCAGCGTGGCTTCTCAACATGTGCATTTGGAATCATGGAAGGCACTGTGGACTGGGAGTGTCCCAAGATTCCCACAAAGTCCTGCACACTGTGCAAGGGTGACATTCCCTGGGGGACTCACACTAGCATCACCAACAGCAGGGATTGTGATATGCAGCTCGATCCCCAGCCACTTGCTCACAGAGGCTCCCAAAGTGATGTCATAATTTGACTGTGGTGTGCAGAAGGAAAGAGGACTGGAAGTCAGGCTCTGGGCTCCTGGGCCTCACTTTCTAAGAATCTTAGCTTCTTCTAGACCCGGGGGCCAGAAAGGGTTCAGGAGGTGATTGCTAGATCACCTCCCCTCTGTCCGAGTAGGGAGAGGCCTCTGTCATCGGTGGTGGCTGAGCTGAGCTATGATGGAGTGGGTGGCCCTGGACCAGGCTTCCCAAAGATTAGCAAGCTGGGCAGCTTGGGCTGCCTGGGATGTGGATTTCAGTCTCTCTCATCAGCCCCTCTCCTTCCCCGAAGAGAGGCTGTGGGGTTGCTGCCTGCTGTGCCACCCCAATCCCTACTCCCCCAGGGGCCCCCCTTGCCCTCCTCACAGGTTTCTGCCCAGAGTCTCAGGGACTACCCATCAAACACATCAACGTCTGCTCCCTTGGCAGAGGGGACCTGGTTCTGAGTACACAGTTACCAGGCCAGTTGCTCTTATCTCTGTCATGTGAGACAGACCTGCAGCCAGGCACAGATAGATGGAGACAGGAGCCCTGGGCTGGCTGAGGGTGGGATTGAGGGGCCTAAGGGAGGCACTAGCCTGGCTGAGGGCAAGGGGCTTGGGAAGGGTCTGGGGATACACTTAAGCCTGGCCCTGAAGGATGGAATCCCAGGTGGTGGAAAGGGCGGGGAGGCAGCTGAGCAGCCCTGGGCAGGGGCAGGCAGAGTGTGTGTGGGATTCTACTTCCCCTAGTTCATTTCCCACAGCCTCCAGTACCAGCCAGCAGGCAGCCTCCACTACAGGGCCTCCTCTCGAATGGCTTCTTCCCGGATGGCCTGGTGCCAGCCCTTCCCTGGGGTCAAGCATCCTGGACTCCATCAGCCCCCAGGAGGCATCTGTCCTGGGTGCCTCTGGGCCACACCACTGATTACGAATTACAGCCTGTCTTGCCATTTATCATGGCTCCACCCCACTTGTTCTGGCAGCAGCTCAGATTCTTGAATGCCCTGTGGCCCAGATGCCCAGCGCTATGTTGCCATCATCACAGTGAAGGCCATGAAGGCCATGCCAGGTCTTACAGCCATCCGGACCCAAGGAGGCAGCACAGTGAGACTTCATGGGTTTAGTATATGTGCTGCCGAAGCGAGCATGAGACTTTGTGGGTTTAAAACCTTCCTCCCAGAGCTGTGTCACCTATGCAAGTTACTTGAAGTCTCTGAGCCTCAGCTTAGGTTGAGGAGAAAAAAATTTACATATATAAAACAATTCAACTTTTTTTGTGTGTGTGCATGTGTGTAGAGTAGGAGAGATTGAACCCAGAGAGTGCTAAGATATATCCCTATACCCTCCCCTTATTTTTGAGACAGGATCTTGCTAGGTTTCTCAGGCTAGACTTGCATTTGGAGTCTCCTGCCTCAGCCTCTGAGTAGCTTGGATTACAGTGTGGTATGTATCACCACACCTGGCAAATTCCACTTTTATAAGTAAATAGCTACCAGCTATACGATATAATGGGAGATATGTACATATACATGGATAAGCATGCACACATATATTTTCCCCAGTAAGCATAGTAAGTATATTTTCCACTAGTAAGCACACTCAGCCCTGGATCTTGGTTTCTAATATCACTCTCCAATGACAGGAACCATGCCCCTTGGAAAAATGGCTGGTAGTGAGGACAAATACAAGATGAGCTTGAAGTATCTTGTACTGTCAGGAATAAGGAAGTGCTGCACATAAATAAGTAAAAGGATGGTGGCATGTCAAAGGAACAGAGAGCCTGCAGGGAAGAGTTCCCTGACCACCAAAACAAACATATCAAGCAACAAAATAAATTACATTCTGTTGGATTAAAGTCAAGTTATAAAATAAATACCCAAGAGTCCAAACTGATAGAAATGTTTGACTGCATAGATAAATGTGAAAGAAGTCTTTCTTACAGAAGAATTCCAAAAACATTATGTAGCTCCTCCCACCCCCAACGCCTTTCCTGAGTGTAGGCTGCATGCAGTGTCTTGCTTCCCAAGAGAAGGGGACAGAAATGTGGAAAAGTTTCAAAGTAAGGCAGCCTTCAAACACTTCCCTCAGGGGCGGATGCAGGCTGCCCTGCCGTGACAGGGTTAGCAGCTCCCTGTGAGACAATGTGATGAGGATGAGAAGGGCACCTTTGTGCTTTTCTTCCTAAAAACCCGGAAGCCACCAGGTGTGGCAGCACATATGCCTGTGACCCTGGCTTCTCTGCAGGCTGAGGCAGGAGGATCAAAATGCAATGCCAGCTTGAGCAACTTAGTGAAGTTCTTTCCAAAAATAAATAGGTTTGAGGATGTAGCTCAGTGGTGGAGTGCTTATCTCACATGCATGAGGCCCTGGGTTCCATCCCTAGAACCACAAACCAAAACCAAAAAAGCCATAACCCCAGGCTGGCCATGAGGAAAACATCAGACAAATCCAAATTGAAGGACATTCTACAAAGTGGCTGACCAGTCCTTCTTGGGACTGTCATAGTCATGAGAAACAAAGTCCTTGAGAAACTGTCACAGACACAAGGAGGCATGAGGATATGACATGGAATGTGACGTTCTGGATTAGAAGAACATGAACAGGAAAACTGCTGAAATCTGAATAATGTCTGAATAAAGTTTTAAAACGATGTTATAAATTTATTACTTATTTTTTATTACTTATTTTTATATTATAAATACATGAAATTTTTTTTTTGAGAAAGGGTCTGGCAGTGTAATTCAGGCTGAACTTCAACTCACTATGTAGCCCAGGGTAGCCTCAAACTCACAGCAATCCTCCTGCCTCAGCCTCTTAAGTGCTGAGATTACAGGTGTGTGCCACCATGCCTGGCTAAATATATTAGTTCTTTTTTTTTTTTTTGTACCGGGGATCGAACTCAGGTCCTTGTGCTTGCGCAGCTAAATATATTAATTCTATAGTCACATATTATATATTTATACACATTTATATTATAAAGATATATGGAAAATAAAGAGAGAGAGCTCATTTACAAAAGGAACCCCAGAGTGGAAAATACTCATAAATACATTGAAAATGGGGCTGTGAAGATAGCCCAGTGGTAGAGCATGTGCTTAGCATGTGCATGGGCCTGGGTTCCATGCCCAGCACAAATCAACAAACCAATAAATATTTATGAGTGATGCTTTTTTCAAGATAGGGGCTCACTGTGTTACCTAGGCTGGCCTTGAATTTTTGAGCTCAAGCTATCCTCCCACCACAGCCTCCTGAGTAGCTGGGAATACAGGTACATACCAGTACACTTGACTTAGAACTTTTAAATGAAGAAAACCTAAAATCTTACAGAGTACTATAAAAGAAACCTCTATCAATGAAAAGGTTTGTATTTCTGTATGTGTATGTAAAGATCCATTATTATCATCATTGTTATTATTATATATTTTTTTGGTACCGGGGATCGAACTCAGGACCTTATGCTTGTGCAGCAGGTGGCAGTACCACTGAGCTAAATCTCCAGCCCTGTTATTATTAATTTTTGGGACAGGGTCTTGCT